ACACAGACAGACAGACCCACACACACACACACACCATGACAGACACACACCATGACACACACACATATACCATGACACACACACCATGACACAGACAGACACACACCCCATGACAGACAGACAAACACATCATGACAGACACACCATGACACACACATATAGCATGACACACACACCATGACACAGACAGACCGACCCACACACACACCATGACAGACACACATATACCATGACAAACACACCATGACACAGACAGACACACACCCCATGACAGACAAACACACCATGACAGACAGACACATCATGACAGACAGACACACACACCATACAGACAGATACATAACAAACACACACCACGACACAGACAGACACACACATCATAACAGACAGACACACACCATACAGACAGACACAAACACACACCAGACACATCATAACAGACATACACACCATGACACAGACAGACAGACACATACCGTGACACAGACAGACACACACACCATGACAGACAGACACACACACACCATGACACAGACACACACCAAACAGACACATCATGACAGACACATCATGACACAGACAGACACACATACACACCATGACACAGACAGACACACACCATGACAGACAGACACCATGACACAGACACACACACACCATAACAGACACACCATAACACACATTACTACTACCTGCCAGGACGTAGTGCAGTGCAGCCGGCTGTCTGTGCTGGCGGCCGCTGGGGGACTTGTGCTGAAGTCTGGCGGCCGCTGGGGGAGGTCTGCTGGGGGAGCTGCGCTGGCTCTGCTCTCCCGGCCTTGTGCACTGCTGCATGAAACCGAGGTCTCATTAAGCTGCGCGCTGGGGAGCAGAGACAGAACAGCTCCCCCAGCGGCCACCAGCAGACCTCCCCCAGCGGCCGCCAGCAGACGCCGACGACCCACCGGGAAATTTCCCGTTATCCCGGTGGGCCAGTCCGGCCCTGCTCACCTCTGCTCAGAAACCAAAGAATGGGGACAGCTGTCCTACGCTGACCAACGGGAGAGAGTCCTAGGGAAGGTACTGGAAGTTCTAGAATGGCAGGAAATTTGGGAAGCTAATTCCACCACGTCAATCTGCGTATCCCACCAGGAGCAATCATTAAAAATAATGTTTCGGAGGTACACCACACCAGTAAATCTATACCTCATGAAAAAGGTCACTACTGATGGCTGCTGGTCGGGATGTGGCCATAGAGATACTTACTTGCATATGTGGTGGGAATGCCTTCAAATACAATTCTACTGGACAGTGAGACCTCATAGTTCAGATATTTCAGAAAGTGCCAGATCTCGACCAGTTGTTATACTTGCTGAGAATGACAGTAGAGGGGTGGACCACATATGAACGCACTTGTCTAATGGATGATTTGACAGCCAGAGTACAGGGATTCACAAAGAAACATGACAAAATATAAGAACCACTGGTGAATAGCAATGCTCTATTTTGGCTCTATTTGCGGTTTAAATTATTTTCTTGCCTACAACAATCACTTTTTTCAATAAAAATGTTCTTGGAGTTTCTGTTTTTTTTTCCCAAGTGTAATTAATGTTGGCTTTATGTCAATAATGCATTATCTGTTTATATAACTGGCCTGTTCATACCACACTTTTATTCTGTAAGAGTTCCATATTTGCGGGGGGGTTTTCTGTGTTCTGGGGCAATAAATTTATGGTTTTAAACAGCATTATACTTGTAACGGCACCCCCAGGCATAAAAGGGTTAAACCACCGTTTGGAAAATCTTCCCCTTCCAGAGACACAAGCAGCTCCTGTAGACACCAATCCACCGAACCGGAGAAGCATATGAATGCTCTCAAACATACGAATACTGTAAACAGCCGAATAGGAAAAACCATACGAATAGATTTACACTCCTAGCAATCGAACTGGAACAGCATACAATAAATCCCCCAAGAACAAGACAAGGCTCCGTTTTGAGGGTCAAGCAGGAACAGACAGAGCTGTGGGTTTATTGTTCTTATTTACACATAAGTACCACCCACAGGGTTTTGGAAAACAACCAATAAACATGTACAATACACTCAGACACTCCCACACAAAATCCTCCCCTCTGCCTGTGATACAATTACCTTACACAATGGGTAATGTAATTATCACAGGCAGAGAAACAGTTTTTCCACATTATTCATAATTTTAAAAGTATGCATCACATTCACATAATCATTTTCAGAATCAGCATACTCCAAATACAAACATACATCAAAATCATATAAATTGGTCCAGTGGTTCAAAAGATAGATTGTAGTCCTTTGTGACCAAATGAAGCATGGCTTTTGTGCCCAAAACCAGTTCCACAGAGTCTTCTATCCTGGAGATAATTAAGAAGTAATCCAATTATCTCCAAGGACAGAGGCAAACTCCATTGAACACATGGCAGCAAAAGACAATAAAATACATAAAAATATATAACTGTGCAGCCATTGCATAAAACAGGTACATTCAACATATCCCCAGATAGCTCAGGTCTCAGCGCACATTATTACTGAATGGCGCTCAGAGCACACACATACAGTTCAATTGCCATGGAGCCAAAGTCTTTCCCATAGTCTTTCATTATACGAATGGGCTCCATGGCATCGCTCAAACAGGGCAAGGACCAAATGACCCGGCTTTCGTGTCTTTGCAGGGGAAAAATCAAGCGTTTCAACATGGGGCCATAGTCTAAAGGGAGCAGACGGGCAACCAAGCTTCTCCAATGCAATGTGGCGAGATTGCTCTCGTCAGCATACTATATTTGATTTTGTTTGTGTCAAGGTATATTTTGCACATTACGTGGTTCTTCATTGCTGAACACAAGATCAGTACCACCTTTCCCACAAGTGACTCTTACAGACTTTGTATTACTATTATCTAAGTTTTACTTACAAGACTATTTGTGATACTACAATTTTGGTCACATATTTCTTTTACCTTTATATCCTTTTAAAGGGGGTTATTCACTAAGTGCTGAAACTATTTGTACAAAATTTATCTTTAGAATTTGGGAAATTGTTTATCGGTTTTAGCAGCTGGTGACTATTGTGTACAGTTCTTTTATGCACTTTGTCACTATTTAGATAGAAAATATAATTAGTGAGCTATTTTATCCCATAGCCTTTGTGTAAAGACGCAGCCAACTTTACTATTTCTTTGCGCGCTCTTGCTTGCATTTGTTAGAACAGAAACTATGATAACCGCTGCAAGATTTATAAAGTGAGATACTATCACTGGACCACCAACAGTGGAATGATTACAACCAAGTAATTGGAACATAACTTGCTTTAAACTAGACATTAAAGGTCTTACCCCATGAATTTGAGGTGACAACCAATTAGTGCAAGTAAAACTAGTTTTGATTTTCAAGGAATGTATGTCTGTCACCCGTGGAATGAGAACGGTTTTGGTACTCTTCGCTTTATGCAATGGATCATGTGCCACACTATACCCATTTGGTGTTAACCAATAGGGGGAAAATAGACCTGATATATAATTCTGACGTGCATCTCTTGAAACGACTCTATAGGCAACAAGTTGGCGAACGTAACAAGACTGAGGATTTCGTATTTTTTCCCCCAGATAGTAGGAAAGCAAGAAAGCTGCTTAGATAGAGCACGTGTTTCCACAGCATGGTACTGTGTGGTGCTAATGTGAGAATAAATAAGACTTACAGAAGATTTAAAAGGGATATGATATAGTTAACTTTATTTGAAGATTAACTTTTTTAAATATAGGTTTTTCTCCCATGTGACTCCCAATTCCTCATTAGACACTGAATCCCAAGGAATTAAGAGCAGAGGCGTTCCCCACAGGACATCCCTCTGCTCTTTGCCCATAGCCACCACAGTATGTGCTGTGGTTGCTATGGTAACAGACAGCATTGGCTAAGGAGTATAGTAACAGTGACATGACATCACTCCATTCAGACGCTGGCACACCAGCAATGAAGCCAGTGTGTAAGTGTCATGGAGGTGGTTTGCCCTGCTTGGGAACGGGAAGGTGTTTATCAGAAATTAGGTCTATTTTAAAAACAGACGTACATTATTACTACATCTATATTTTACCCTCCACACAGCTCTTCTTCAAAATGTGCGGAGGAGGAATGGAGTCACTAATGCTGATCTTTCTTTATAAACAGATTAGGCACTGCATGCATCTGCCAAAGACTTGTGTAGACTGTACATTTCATAACTAATATAATACAGAACACAGTGAATCTACTGTGCAAATACTTGTGTCACAAGTTGAGTCAAAATAAAGTAAATATAATTCTTAAGAAACTTCTCTATGAAAAGCATACATAATATTTGGCAGGCCTTGCTATTAAGCTATTAGAAGAAAATTATGAGATGATCCTAACACACACCATCAGAGCCGCAGCCAGGGGTGGCAAAAAGACAGATTCTCACCTGTTCACCTTCAATGGTGTTTTGGTAGCTGATGTTTTACCATTTGCCCATTCTTCCTGGGTTGTATTTGTGTCGTGCTAGTTTGTTTAAATACAGGATTATCATTCTATGGAGAGTGCGTGAGAATGAAGGTTAAATTTGTGTTTACTGTTGGTTGTAAACACCGGTGTGTATTTGAGTGCAGTGTTGGCGTTTGCAGGGATGTATTTGCATAAACAAACACTACCATGCTCACAGACACACTTTTACACACAAACGGTCGCACAATGAATCTTACATGCCAGTAGCATACCATACCATACCATACACATAGTATGAATGACTGGTTATATTGCATCTGTAAAACAAACATTAAATTGTTGACATCACAATGATGTGTTCCTTTAAATAGATTGTAAAACCTTTTCCTAATACAATGAGCATATGAAACATGGGCTTAAGTTACCCTTACATAAATTATTCACTAGACTGGTAATGACTAACTGGGGCAGCGCAAACCGAACATGCTGAAAGTTTTCTTCACTGAAGAGTTCCATTTATTAAACCTGTTTATAATACAATGACCAATTCTTACACAATGATTGCAGACTTTAAGCCCTTCCATCTCATAATGAACAGGGTTGTTCATTGTGTGAATTGCTGGGAGTTCAAAGCATTTCAAATTTGAAGCCAAAATAGCCAAACTTAAATCTGATCCAACATGGAATCTAAAACAAGTCAGTCAGTGTGTAGCACAATAAAATTAAAGACAAAATTGGTTGTAAGGATAGTTCAGAGTAGACACATGTTGTGATGGTATACATTGTGTGGGGAGATGGGTTAATTTTAAAGAGGACAGTCATTTAAAGCTACTCTATCAATTTGAAAAAAAAAATTTTTAAATTAATTTTGTGTCCCTTCATTTCTCCTTGTTTTATTTTTTAAATTCACTTTTTTTGTTCTAGATAAAAATTAAAAAAACAAAACATAGGGACTACTTGTTACTATGGTGAGCATAATCTTTAGCAATGATAGAGGGGGGAGGAGGAGCTTAAGTAAAGTTTAATTTCAGTTGCAAAGATAATTTACCCACAAACCATCAATCAAAAGAATGCGGACAAGGCAAACATCATGGACGGGGAGAACAAAATGGAGACACCAAGGTATTAATGGCGCTTTAAATTGGAAATTCCTGTGAAAGAGGCACACATTAGGTATTTCGTGTTTAAGGAGGTGAGAACACTTACAGACAAAAAGTATTTTCAAAAAGTAAAAAAAAAAAAAAAAAGCTAAAGCAGTTCATTTTTACTGTGAATATTTTAAGTAGCAGGTGTGGCGCAACCCCTTCTAATAAAGTGCCCCATGGCATCTATCTGATGCACCTATTAACTAGCAAGGGGAACTGTGTCCCCCTCAAACTATTTTAGACCAAACCAAGTGTTTGCTTGAGTATCTGCCCCTGTCCAGATTTCAAAGTATAAATGCGTGCACGCCAAGAGAATTACACTGACAACAGAATCCGTTAAATGAAAGCTTCGAGGAATGTTTACTTAGGGGGCAGCAAGCCCCTTATAAAGGCAAAAAAAATACATCATATGCAAAATATGGGAGGACATGAAATGTACATTTTAATTGGTATTTGTTTAAGTTTTTTATCTTGATGGACTTCCTACAGGGTGTGAGGTCATCATTCTGGGTGCAGCTCTGGATGGAGACGCCATCTTGTTACATGAAATTCTTTAGTCGATGGGAGGGGGTGCTCTAGTGGCCATTTTGAGTAGTGAATGAACACTGGTTCATATAGTAAATAGACATTTTACTAACATTAATTTCCATCCATCACAGAACCACTACCCATGCCCTGCAAGTGTGGTCTATTCAACTTAACAGGGGACATAGGCCCTCACCCATGAGTGGCGGATGGGGCTCTAAATTAGGAGGGGAGGCTATTTGCCTTCTACTACATTGATGCTGTGGCAGGCTTATGCACTGTATGATCATATACTGTAACTAAACCCAATCTTTTTTGCCTTGGTGAGGGTTTTTTTATATTTAAATTCGGTGAAACTTTAAATTGCCGTTTGCATGTTGTAAAAATACACACACAAAATACATATATAAAGCAGATGACAGCACTAGATTTTAGACACAAACATAGAAACCTTTAAACCATCTCTGAAATGGCCTTGCCTCTATTTTATTCCCCCCCCTTGACTGTTCCTTCCTAGTCTGTCCTTAATGTGTATTTTTAACATTGCCCGCCTTAATTTTTTAATGATTCTTCATGCCGCTGGATTTTTTTTCATGATATTGCCTTCAAGTTACTGAAAGGTGAGTATTACGTTAAAATTATACTTGACAAAGGAAGTGGAGATTCCGTAAGCTCCACCCATTAAGATTTGTTAAGCGTTGGAAAGCTACATGAGACAAAAGTAGTCTCCTAAAGAGAAATTGATCAGAAAAGATTTAGAAATTGGAAGAGAAGTGGAAACAATTTGAGAAAGGCAAGTTTGGGGGGTTACATAGCTGCTTTAACCTCTTAAGGACCAAGCTTCTGGAATAAAAGGGAATCATGTCATGTGTCCTTAAGGGGTTAAGGTGGTTATTTTCCTGCTGTGGTGTAAAGTAATTATTGTAATACAATTAAGTCCTGGCAAAATTTGAATAAAACCATTTGATAATCTGTAATAAATGCATGTGATTATTCAGTAATACAGATTTAAAAAAGCAGAAAGTTTAAAAATAACTGAAAGTTGTCTGGCAAGCTTCTATATTTAAAATGTAACCTTTAAATCCAATGCAGTAAATATACACATCTAACACACAGTCTGGAGACACTGAAATTCAGTTTGTGGCGGACAGTCCTATTACAAGGAAACCAATACCACCTTTATATACACTGTCCAAAGTACAATTATGACACCGCAAGTGAGCGACTGCAGGTTTGTCCTACATTTAAACAAAACTAACAGCACTGAATATTAACATACATTTTCATCTGGAACCAAACTTTACTGTATAAAGATTTTCTAATTTTTTTTTTTTTTTATATATACCACTTTCATGGAGTATTGAAAGCAAATATCTCTAAGCATTATAAATATATGGACCTTATGCTTTAGGGAGGGAAGGATTAAGAAAAATAAAATTGCAATGTAGAGAGGTGGAGTATACAAAGGGAGGGGATATGAAGCTAAAATAGTAATAGCAAATTATACATGCACCTTGGGTCACAGTGCTTGAAAACCAACAGCTTCACTCGAGGCACAGAAAACCATAAATACGGACGGTTTTCAAACACTGGCCGACCAAAGGTGTTTGTATATGTCTGAAGGATAAAAAAAAAAAAAAAAAAAAGGTAAAAAACTAAAATCAGAGAAAGTAAACAAAAGCAGGTTGTTCGCAGTGTGAAATCAAGAACTCTGGGAATAGCTTCAGGTCTCTTACATTCAGCCACAGGATCCTGGACAGGCATATTACATCCCAGGGGTTCAGACGGTTTCCAGGTGAAGTAGGCAGACTTCAACAATTCTAAGACCCATGTATACACGCTGTAATAAAAGCCATCTCTATTTGATCTTTTTTATTTTGACCCTTTCAAATACAAGGGTAAGGTTAGTTTTTTTTTGGGACTGACTTTTATAGGTCTGAGATCAGAAGGTGAAGAACAGCTATAGTTATATAAAACTATAAGACCTCGGGACATATTTGGAAACAAGTGAGAACCAAGTTATATTTCCTGATTAAATACTCTGCGATAATTCAGCAGAACTTAATACTTCACTAGAAGTTTGTTACCAAGAATTTGACAGGCTCTTTTCTGCAAAATTACTTGTTCTAATTTGCTGCAAAGAGTCAATATGGCACTGGTCCATCCACAGGTAACACTGTTACGACCTATTGCCACCATAGCAACTGAAAAAGCTACACCAGACTAGAATTTCTTACATAGGTACAGCATCCATAGGTGGTTGGGAGCCCCAACCAAAGTTAAATGCCAATGTTCCACATCAGAATACAGGTCTTAGGGGAACAAACTGATATGATGGCCTAAGTATTGTACTTAACTTTTTAATAAAGGGTTAGGCACTTAAACTGTCGTGAAGGGATAAGGATTTAAATGTTGCCTACATGTTACACACATAGAATATTACTCGAAGGTTTATATATTGTATTCCTAAATAAATGTTTGCTAAAATAAAGTGGCACTGGATAAAAGGATTCATTTAATGTTTTAATAAGTCATTACAAGAAAATATTTTATAATACTGACAACTTGACAAAAAAAAACTAAAAATGTTTTTCAGTGAGTGTAAGGTGGACAACAAGATGGTTACTAAACAGTTACAGCGTTAAAAAAAAAAAAAAAAATAAAGAAAAAGGAAGCAGGATTTAAAGCTTGATAGTGCTTAGAGACAAAGAAATCAACATAATATATGAATATTTTGTAAAATAGATCTGCTAGTCCCAGATACACAGGCACTGGGTACCTTCATTTAATTTAAACAGATTTGTCACAGTTTCCATTTTAGTAATTGGAACCAAAGTAACAAGCGAACTGCAAGTTTTAGGTTACAATTGCAAAAATGGAGACTGTCCAGTCTGACTAAAACTTGCAGTTCTCTTATCCGTTCTTTACAATTCCTCTTAGTGGAAAGAAAAATAAAGTCCAGGGGTTATAGAGGTTAGAAACAGGGGGAGAGTTCATTACAGTGGATCTTTTTACACACTTTTAATATATAACAAGTCAGTGATCTGCAGAGATAGTGTAAACCAAACATTACACATTCTGCTTCTAACATCCAACTGACCTGATCTGAAATGCTTCTGAGAGGTAGCACAAATTAAACATCTCACTCACAAAACCCACGAAATAGTGATGGTGTTTAACTTACCACAAAAGTGGTATAGAATCGGCTAACCAGGCAAGGACAATAAGTTACTATGAAAAATTGTCTTGCGCACAAATAGACTACCGGTTGGCAAAGCGTCATGGGAGTTGCAGTTTTGCAACCACTGTAAAGCTGTTCTGGAGTGGAACCACTTGTTGTACAAACTGTTAAACTATGTGATATTAACTAGGTCATTATGCCAATCCAGGCTGGATACTAACCTTCACCCAGCTATCCGACTTGAATATCTAGCAGCCTGGAGGCAATGACCCAGACAATCTAATAACTAGCTAGGCTGCAGATGCTTCAAACTTTAAACTGATTTTGAGGAATGCAAGGCGTTTCTCTACAGACATAGGCCACACAGTCTCTGGCTGTTAAACATATTCCCATTAAGATCACTCTTGTTTAATTTCTCCTTTCAGTTTTCTTTTCATGCGAGAGTATGGGCTGAGGGTATCATCCATGATAAAATCATATAGCACCTTGACCCAGGATGTGTACTGGGGTAGGGAATCGTAGTATTCAGCTGCAATTTTCCGCACCTGCAAAAAAAGGGAAAGCATTACATTTACATAGATCAGAGGGGGGGGTTCTCACAATCCGAGGACATGGATTCATAACCACTAGAATTGCTCTGCTGGACTTTTAACATTATGCCAGTTCAAGCTCTCCCTCGAAATGCCATTGGCTAAACACAACAGCTAATACATAACGTAGGGAATTCTTACATTATGTGTAGCACTCAAGTTGACAAAAATTGGCACGTGAGTACTATAGACAGGAACATGGCAACAGACAGGTTTGTTTTAACATTTGCAAAGTCAGGCAAGAGATGGGCAGTTGTTTCTATATATTGAGCCACTCCTTGCTCATAAACCTTATCTTCAGGACCTCTACCCAGATCTAGCGAAAAATTGTGTCATAAAATTTCCCTGTAACCCCCACAGGATATCCTGAAACAGCTGTGCTTTTTGTAAATGCATCTGAAGTTTCTGGTAGGAAAGAGATTGTTAAATTGCTTAATACGGAGATAAATGCAGCGTACACTGCTGAAGACATAGAATAATAACTATTACAATGTGGCTGAAACTTATAGCTACACAACATTTTGAAGCACCGAGGGCACTGCTATTCTTGCTTTCAGCAGTTTGGTTATTATTGCAAATGCAAAGTAAAGGTGGAGCTAGTGAGTATTTTTAATTTTACAAAACTTTAATAATGTCCAGCATCCATATCAAGCTGTTACACTCACTGGTGATCCAGCTTCGAACAAACGTTGCTCCTCTTCAGAGATCACTCAATGAGTTCTGGTCCATTCCAATGCTTCTCACAGCACTGGGGACCTACTGTGAAGCATTCACAGAGTTTGTAGGCATGATGTGCGTGATGTTGATAATTTAAGACTTAAATATTGAAAGTCTACAACGAGGAAGTGCCTGGAGGGATTCTGCAAAATAGCAATTCTTTACATTGCCAGACTAGAGAAGGTTTAAGCAACCAAAAACTTCATTAAGATGAAGTGGTTTTTGTGCTTAGAGAGTTTCCTTAAAGCTGAAGTCCTGCACATTAGGACATCCATACGGACACTATAGTCTTCGTAAAATAGCTTTGAATTTCTGACACTAGTGTCCCTTTATTCACTTTAGTACCATGGTAATGGCTCGACAAGTCCCAGACCCCAGGTCGCCATGGCGACTAAGAATTTGCCCTGGCATCTGGGATTGGTCAGCCTGTTCCCTTTCTCCTCCCGCAGGGGAATTGCAAGTTGGAAGGGCAGCATATAAAGACTGCCAGCTTGCCGCCTACCTGCCCCAGCCTGCATTCCTCTGAGCCCGTCCACCCACATTCCTTAGAGCCGGCCTCCAGCCCGCCTTTTTACGCAGAGTCGGCTGCCTGCCCATTCCCCTGAACGCCCGGACGAAGTAATTACACTTCTCTTTACTTCCTCCCGGCACACAGAGATCTGTACCGGGCTGAGGAGACCAGGGAGGGGGAAGAGTCTGGAACAGCGGCAGCTGCTCCCATCATTCGCTCACCTATTTTCCAAACGCTATGCCGTCCTCACAGCAGCTGGCCCGCCTCTATAGCTGAGATGATCAATTACCAATCAGCATCTCCTTGTAGAGATGCAATAAATCAATGCATCTCTGTGGGGAACGTTCAGCGCCTCCATGCAGCACTGAGGTAGGAGACATTTTAGTGTCCGTTTGAGTGACAGCCACTAGAGGTGTTACTAGGCAGCAATGTAAGCACCGTCTTTTCTCTGAAAATGTTTACTTTGAAAAGCCTGCAGGGACAATCCATAGACACCAGACCACGACATTAAGCTGTAGTAGTTCTGGCGACTAGTGTCCCTCTAAGAATTGTATTTTTGTTGTTGAGAAAAAAACAAACACAGGCTCCTGACCTTTTTAGCTGGCTCCTAGAGTGAAAGCAAATTTGTCAAGCCCAGATTTAACCCTTTGCCACAAATCAGTGTTTGTTACTCACAAGGCTTTCTACTATTACACACAGAGAAAAAAAAAAAAAAGTTTTTCATGTCCTGAAAGTGATTCTAACACCAGCCCTCCTGGAAGAACATAGAATGTCCTCAGATGCTATTCAAGCCCCGGCTTTACTTATAACTTTTAATCAAAGACTACAAATTCATTCCAAGATTTTACTTCAATTAAGAAAAAAATAAATAAAAATAAACCTCAATGATCACATATCAACTTTGAGAGAAGACAAGACGTTCTTACCAAAGGCAGGTTCTTGCCCGGAACGCTGGGGAAATCATGATGCTCATTGTGGTAGCCAACATTGAAGGTTAGATAGTTCAGTGGCCCATAATAGGAATAAGTTTCATGGCCTTTTAAAAACATATAATGTTCAGCTATAAAATGTCCTGAAATTGGGTGGAGTCCAAGGCCAAGTATTGAACCAACGAGCATGTATACTATAACCTTGATTCCCAAGAAATGATAGACAACAATGTCAAAAGCGAACTGCACCAACAGATTGATCAATTCCAGTTTTGAAATGGGCTTGGGATTGATGCAGAGAGGTCTGATGGTATAAAATAGGGGCTGTAGGATGATCCATATAAGTTTCCGAATTGGGGTGCAGAAAAACCAACCCTCAAAATCTGTGGGGATGTCCACATCGATGCCGTCCCCACCCAGATATCTGTGGTGGTCCATGTGGTAACGTTTAAAGGAGATTGAGTAAGGAAGTCCAATAGGCAGATTGGCAAATATTCCAAAGCAGCGGTTCCACATAGCTTTGCAGTTACCAAAAGCACTGTTGTGAGAGATCTCGTGGATAGCTAGAGTCATCGAGTGGCTGATGCAACTTCCAAACACGTAAGTCCAAAACATGAGCCATTTCCAGTCCAAGTCTTTTACCAAGTAAAAAGCTATAAACTGGGTAAAAACCATGCATGACACAATCCACACCAAGTTGTAATCTGGCTTCATGAGAGCTTTTATTTCAGGATATTTTGCTACAATAAAATAAAAAAATTAATATTAGTCAACAGTAACAGTCAAACTTGCGATAAAAGGATCATGCTTATGTAGCACCACAAGAAATCTAGGCTAAAATTTTAAAATAGTTCTAGTAAACCATATGCTGGTATTCCACCCAAACACAAATGTATTGCTACACATTCCATATAGAGGCCTATAAAAAGGTACATGTTAATATATGTATTACCCCAACAATCCACTACCTTTAAAGAAATGTAAATATCTGCTACTCACACACCTACACATAACTTTTGAATGTGGCTTACCTATAGTCAATCTACAATTAGAAATTCTCAATCATCTCTTAATACCATATGGCTTTAGAGACTAGTGATTTAAGTCTGTGCCATGACATCATGGCATGTGACATGTAATTCTTCTCTTTCCTTTTTAAAACCATCTGTAACTAACTGCCATCAGCTTATACAGAATCCCACTAAGTGACAGTTCTCCTTTAATAATGGGCTCAA